AGCGCCCCTCCCCGCGCCCATAAGCGCCCCTCCTCGCGCCCGTAATCGCTACGTTTTCGCGCGGCGTTCTTGCCGCATTTCGACGCGGCGCTCTAGCCGCATTTCGACGCGGCGCTCTAGCCGCATTTCGACGCGGCGTTCCTGCCGCATTTCGACGCGGCGCTCGGCGGCATTTCGACGCGGCGCTCGGCCGCATTTCGACGAGGCGCTCGGCCGCACCTCGACGCGGCGCTCGGCCGCATTTCGACGCGGGCACTTGGTCGCATTTCGGCGCGACGTTCCGCCGCAATTTTACGCGACGCTCCCGCACCATCTTGACGCGGCCCTCCCGCCATATTTCGACACGCCGTCTCCTCCGCACTCCGTCGCCTCCTCCCCCTTTGTGCAGTCCCGGCGCCCCCGCCTAACAAGCGGGATTCGGCCGGGCTGACCTCTGTGCCGGCGTGCACCGCACGCAACTGCCCACAGCTGCCGATCGTCACCATCCGCGCTGGCCGTCGCCTTTCGCCTACGGCGACTTAAGAGCTGCGCTCCGCACACCGGCCTTTTCCCTCCTCCCCCCCCCCCCTTCCTCCCTCCCTTCCTCTCCTCCTCCCCCCTTCCTCCCTCCCTTCCTCTCCTCCTCCCCCCTTCCTCCCTCCCTTCCTCTCCTCCTTCCCCACCAGCAGCAGCAGCCGCACCCCCCCCCCCAATCAGCCGCAGTCGCCGCATCAGCAGCCGCCGCCGCACCCTCCACCACCCTCCACCTCCTCCCCACTCCCCTCATCAGCCGCAGCAGCCGTATCTCCCCCCTCCACCTCCTCCTCCTCCCCTTCCTCCTCCCACTAGCGGCAGCAACCGCCTCATCTGCAGCAGCCATATTTCGCCCCCTCCCCTCCCTCCTCCTTCTCCCCTCTCCCCTCATCCCCAGCAGCAACAGCATCAGCACCCGCAATTCCACCATGACCACCGAAGTACTCGCCGTCGACATCTTCACCATCGACGTCCTCGAGCTCATCGACGACGCTGTCCCTGTCAACTATGCTACCTTTGCCCAAAGCCTCACAAATGTCCTCGGATCCGCTATCATCAACGATTACTGCCTCCTCGACATTCTCCTTGGCACTGACGCAGGGCAGCCCCCAGAGCGTCCTGCTGATGTCTCCCCTGCACCTCCCGCCCCACCTCCACCCCCCTCGGGACCGGCCCCCACCAAGCCCTCCCCACTGGTCTACACCGATGACCCTGGTCGATGGGCTCGCGTGCAGCACTAGTATGACAAGGACTTTGCGGAGTACACTCTCCTCCAGCACGCGTATGACGCAGAGCAAGCTGCGCACGACGCTGCCAACACACTCCTCTAGCAGCACAAGGACGCCACGGCTAAGTATGCTGGCGAATTTCGTGAGTACCGTCGTCGCCACTCTGCCTGGAACATTGCCAACCGCAAATGTCTCGCTATCCTGTCTGCATGCGTTCCTTCCTCCCTCAAACGTGAAATAACCCCCTCCTCCGCTCCCGAGTTCTGGAAAGAGGTATGTGCCACCTATGACCTCCAGGACACCAACTCTCTCCTAGCGCTCCACCGCGCCTTCCTCGACATCAACCTCGACTCCTGCCCCAACGCCCTCTCCTTCACGCGCCGCCTCCTCACCACTGCCAAACGCCTTGCCGATCGTCGCTCTCCCCTTCCCGACTCCCTCATCGTTTGCCGCCTCCTCGACGGTCTCACACCCATGTACGAGGCCCGTCGCGTGGCGTTCAATGAGGTTCACGCCAGCTTCCCACCCGACTCCGCCTATGTATTCTGAAAACTGAAGCGGAGCTTCTCCGCCAGTCTCCTCCGACGGCTCATGCTGCCCAAGCAAAAGGAGGACGTGGTGCTGGCCGTGGCGGTACTTCGGCGGGACGATCGGGTGGTGGACGTGGCGGGGGGCGCAGTGGAGGACGCGGGGGTAGCAGTGGTTCCAACAGCACCGGCGGCTTCTCCCCATGTCAGTATCTCATCCGCAACGGCCCCAACAAGGGTAAGCGCTGCCTCTAAACCACCCATGCCACCACCACATGTTTCAAGGCCCTCACTGATGAATGGCTTGATCGAGGCAACACGGGCACGCCCCCTCGCTGGTCCGCTATCACTCCACCTCCCACTCCCTTTGATGTTCGTACCCTCCCCGCCTATCAGCCCTCCTCTACCTCTCTCCACCACATCCTCGCACAGCACCTCCCTCCACAGATCCTCCAGCAGGTCACGCCCCTCCTTCCGTCCCCGCAGCCGCAGCAGACTCAGCAGCCGCAGCAGATCCAGCAGCCGCAGCAGTCCCAGCAGCAGCCGCAACAGCTCCTGCAGCAGCTCCTCCAGCAGCTGCAACAATCTCAGCAGCACCAGCAGTCTCAGCAGCAACCCTCCCCTCCCTCCGCCTGGAGCTCCGGCCTCTCTGCTCCTGCTCCTCTTGCGCAGGCCCCCACCGGACCTCCTGGCTTTACCCCATTTCCCTCTCCTGGCTTCATCAACCATGTTAGCATGCTTCTCTTGCTATTCCTCCAATGTATCCCGAGTCTATTAATGAAACCTCCTTCCAGTACTCCGTGTCTCACCCCACCCCTCCTTCCATTGAGTTTGTCATTGACAGCGGCGCCAGTGTCACAGTCCTTCGTGACGCTGGTGCCCTCACCCCCCTCCCTAACCCCTCCACCATCATTGGAGCCGATTCTACTTTCTCGGTCACCTCCCGCCATACCTCCACTCTTCCCTGCCCCCTCTTCCCCTCAGGTTCAGTAACTGGCTTCCATGTCCCCTCCCTTCGCACTAACCTTCTCTCCTAAGGTGCACTTCAACGGGCCGGGGTCACAACAATCTACCCCGGCCACGCCACCCACTGTGACCTCTTTCACTCATCCACGGGCCATTTCATCGTCCGTGTTCCCATGTGTCCTCGCACTCGCATGTACACCCTTCACACTCCCCGTCCGTCAGCCTGTCACACTGCCTCCACCATCCCTCCCCTCCCCCCTCCTCTCTTTCCTCCGCAACCTCCCCCCACCTCCCCTCCCGCCCCTCCTGCTCCCCCCCCATCTTAGTGCCATTGTCGTGATCTTACACATCCTGCCATCCTCCTCCACCACCGCCTAAGTCACCCCAACTTTGCCACCCTCCACAAGGCCGTCGCCTCCGGGCTCCTCAATGGCCTTCCCCTCACTCTCCCTCCACTCCCTCCCTCCCCCGCCCCCTCTTGCACCATCTGTGTCCAGAGCAAGCTCAAGCAGCTTCCTCATAAAAGTCACCCTTCTTGCACCCCAGAGCTCCTGGATCTTGTCCACATGGATCCCTGGGGCCCCAACCCCTCCCCCACCCGTCAAGGGCACCGCTACCTCCTCGTCCTGGTCGATGACCGCTCACGATACACCTCGGTCTCCCTCCTTCGCACGAAGGCCGAGGCACCGGCCTTCATCATCGCCTGGGCCGAGCAGGCGCGCACCCACTTCGGTCGTCCCGTTCGCCGCTTCCATTCCGATGGCGGCGGTGAATTTCTCAATCACCATCTCTCTTCCTATTTCTCCACCCATGGTATTCACCACACTTACACCCTCCCTCACTCCCCTCAGCAGAATGGCATGGCAGAAGCTCGTGTTCGAGAAGTTACAAAGACCGCCAGGTGTCTTCTCATTCACGCCTCTTGCTCGCCTTCTCTCTGGGGTTATGCTCTTCTCCACGCCGTCCTCCTCACTAACCTGTATCCCCACCCTCTCCTCCCCTCCACCACCCCCACCGAGCTGTGGACGTCAACTAAACCCGACGTCTCCCCCCTGCGCGTCTGGGGTTCCAGGGCGTATGTTCTCATACACCCAGCCGACCGCTCACGCACAGCAGGGAAGCTCGCCTCCAAGAGTCTACCCTGTGTATTCCTTGGTCACAACACCTCCTCCCTTGACTACCTCTTCCTTCATCCCCCCTTAGGTCGCCTCATTCGTAGTCGGGACGTCATCTTTGACGAATCCTCCCCGTACTACACCTCTCCTGCCTCACCTGACCCACTCACCATTCCTCCTCGCCCCTTCATCCCCTCTGACATTGTCACCCCCCCCCTCCTCCCCCCTCTCCCTATTATTCCCCCACCCCCAGCACCTCCTCCTCCCGAATCTGCTCCCTCCTCATCTTCCTCAGGTGATATCCTTGACCCAGTACTCCCCCCCTCTCCCTCTCACTCCGCTTCCGCTCCATCCTCCCCCTTCTCCCCACCTCCTCCCCCTCCACCTCCTTCCCCCCCTCCTCCCCCATCTCCCCCACCTCCTCCTCCACCCCCCCAGGTGTCTTCTCCCCTTGTCCTTCGCCACCGCCCTCATACTCGGTCCATGGATCCCCTCTTTGGTCCGCCCTTAGCCCCTCCCTCCCCTCAGGCAAAGGCACCCGCTCCAGCACCCTCTGCTCCCACCTCCGCACCCGCCGCAGCAGCTCCCGCCGCCGCACGAGTGCCTGCCCTGGTCGCCGCACCCGCAGCGTCAGGATCCGCCGCAGCAGTTGCCCCGGTCAAGCAGCCGTGCAGCCGAGTCGTAGAGTCATCGTGTCGCAGCCTCCCCCCTCAGCAGCGCAGCAGACTTGCAACACCACCCTCCCTTCCTCCTCCTTTCTCTCCCCTCCTCATCGAAGACTTCCATGATGAATTTCTTCGCCTCCACCTCTTCTCCAACACCCAAGCAGTCGCCTTCAGCATGACCGGCGCCCCGGTACTTGTCTTCTCCGGCGCGCCCATCATCTTCGAGCCGGGAGATTATCATGAAGCTATGACATGCCCCGACCACCCTCATTGGGGCAAGGCAGTCCTCAAAGAGAATGAGGCCTTTGTCCGCAACGGCACCTTCATCGACGTACCCCGCCCTCTCAACCACAACGTGCTCAAGGGCAAATGGGTATTTCGGGTCAAGCTCCTCCCTGGCGACGACCCGATCTATAAGGTCCGCTACTGCGCCAAAGGATTCACGCAGCGGTACGGCCATGACTTCCTTGACACCTACTCGCCGACCGCCACTCCCCCTGTCGTCCGCGTGTTCTTGGACTTCGTCGGCCGGCGCGGCATGATCCTGCACTCGATGGATGTCACCACGGCATTTCTCCAAGGTGAACTCCATGAGCGCATCTTCATGGAGCGTCCCGAGGGCTGGCACCTCCCTTTCCCTCCCAACACCGTTTGGGAACTTCGCCGCCCGGTCTACGGCCTCAAGCAAGCTCCTCGGGAATGGCATGCCAAGCTCTCGAGCACTCTCCGTGCTCTTGGTTTTCGCCCTTCCCAGGCTTCCTCCTGCCTCTTCCTGCGCACCTCCCCCTCCCCCTTCTACATCCTCGTCTACGTCGACGACATGCTTCTTGCCGCTGACAACGAAGCAGACCTACAACAGGTCAAGGATGAGCTGCAGAAGCGCCTCCTCTGCAAGGACCTGGGGGAGGTCCGCAACTACCTCGGGATGGAGATTTCTCGCGATCGTGCGGCCAGGACCATCTCCCTCTCTCAGGCATTCTACCTCGAGAAGGTCCTTGAACGCTTCGAGATGGCCACGGCCAAACCTGTCTCCACACCCCTCCAAGTCGGCCACCAGCTCTCGCCGACATCCACCCACGGTTCCTCCACCAGCCCTTACGCTGAGCTGGTCGGGTCCCTGATGTACGCCATGATGTGCACTCGCCCCGACCTCGCCTACCCTATCAGTGTCCTGGCGCGCTTTGTCGGCGCTGGCAAACACACTCCCGAGCACTGGCAAGCGGCCAAACGCGTTCTCCGCTACATCAAAGGCACCAAGGACTATGTCCTCACCTTGGGTGGCCCCACCCCTCCTCAGCTCACTGGCTATAGCGACTCCTCTTTGGCGGAATCTCAGCCCGATCGTCGCAGCTCACAGGGGTATGGTTTCTCCCTCGGGAGCGGCCTCATTTCCTGGCGCTCCACCCGCTCCTCCTCGATCGCTCTCTCCTCCTGCGAAGCAGAGCTCTACGCGGTCACCATGGCGGCCCAGGAGGCGCGGTGGCTCAGCTTCCTCCTCGCTGAGCTGGATGCTCCCCAGCCCTGTCCCACCATCTGGTGCGACAATGCCAGTACTATCCACCTCACAAAGGAAGCCGTTTTCCATGGTCGCTCCAAACACATCGAGCTCCGACACTACTTCGTTCGTGAGCTCGTCCAGGCTGGACACCTCACCGTGCGCAAGATTGACTCTTCAGCCAACCTTGCAGACATCTTCACCAAGGCCCTCCCTCGTCGTCCCCATGCGGCTCTCCTTCGCCTTCTGGGTCTTGCGCCTCCCTCACAGGGGACTACCTGATTCAGGGGTTGCTTCTCCTCACCTTCCCAAGACTTATGGCACTCTGTAGGCTAAGGGGTTGTGTTAGAATATTCTCCCTTCATTCTATTAGCCTACATCGTTTCATTGTCTTAGGTACTTATAAGCACCCCACTAGGGTGTATACACCCAAGTTGGGGGTTGGGTTCCCAAATTGGTTGGGCTCCCAATTATTGGAGCCCCCAATAATCCCAACCAAGATTATTGAACCCACCAATAATCTTGGCTAGGATCATTGGACCCCCAATAAGTTGACCAACTCAACTTATTGGGGTCACCAATAATCGTGGTCACCTCCCAACCAAAACCCCCCCCATCCCTCCTACTCCTCACCTATGTATACCCACTCTTTTCCTAATACAATCATCACTTGAGTTTCTCACACAAGAGACTCCTCACGCATGGTGCATGAGACTCGTCACGCATGGCACATGAGACTTCTCACGCATGGCACATGAGACTCCTCACGCATGGTACATGTGACTCCTCACGCATGGCACATGAGACTTCTCACGCATGGCACATGAGACTCCTCACGCATGGCACATGAGACTCCTCACGCATGGTGCATGAGACTCCTCACGCATGGCACATGACACTTCTCACGCATGGCACATGAGACTCCTCACGCATGGCACATGAGACTCCTCACGCATGGCACATGAGACTCCTCACGCATGGTGCATGAGACTCCTCACGCATGGTGCATGAGACTCCTCACGCTTGGTGCATGAGACTCCTCACGGTTGGCACATGAGACTCCTCACGCATGGCACATGAGACTCCTCACACATGGCCTGGTGACTCCTCACACATGGCACATGAGACTCCTCACGCATGGTATATGAGACTCCTCACGCATGGCACATGAGACTCCTCACGCATGGCACATGAGACTCCTCACGCATGGCACATGAGACTCCTCACGCATGGCACATGTGACTCCTCACGCATGGTGCATGAGACTCCTCACGCATGGTGCATGAGACTCCTCACGCTTGGTGCATGAGACTCCTCACGGTTGGCACATGAGACTCCTCACGCATGGCACATGAGACTCCTCACGCATGGCCTGGTGACTCCTCACACATGGTACATGAGACTCCTCACGCATGGTATATGAGACTCCTCACGCATGGCACATGAGACTCCTCACGCATGGCACATGAGACTCCTCACGCATGGCACATGAGACTCCTCACGCATGGCACATGTGACTCCTCACGCTTGGTATATGAGACTCCTCACGCATGGCACATGAGACTCCTCATGCATGGTACATGTGACTCCTCACGCATGGCACATGAGACTCCTCACGCATGGCACATGAGACTCCTCACGCATGGCACATGAGACTCCTCACGCATGGTGCATGAGACTCCTCACGCATGGCACATGAGACTTCTCACGCATGGCACATGAGACTCCTCACGCATGGCACATGAGACTCCTCACGCATGGCACATGAGACTCCTCACGCATGGTGCATGAGACTCCTCACGCATGGTGCATGAGACTCCTCACGGTTGGCACATGAGAATCCTCACGCATGGCACATGAGACTCCTCACGCATGGCCTGGTGACTCCTCACACATGGCACATGAGACTCCTCACGCATGGTATATGAGAGTCCTCACGCATGGCACATGAGACTCCTCACGCATGGCACATGAGACTCCTCACGCATGGCACATGAGACTCCTCACGCATGGCACATGTGACTCCTCACGCATGGTGCATGAGACTCCTCACGCATGGTGCATGAGACTCCTCACGCATGGTGCATGAGACTCCTCACGCTTGGTGCATGAGACTCCTCACGGTTGGCACATGAGACTCCTCACGCATGGCACATGAGACTCCTCACGCATGGCCTGGTGACTCCTCACACATGGTACATGAGACTCCTCACGCATGGTATATGAGACTCCTCACGCATGGCACATGAGACTCCTCACGCATGGCACATGTGACTCCTCACGCTTGGTGCATGAGACTCCTCACGCATGGCACATGAGACTCCTCACGCATGGTATATGAGACTCCTCACGCATGGCACATGAGACTCCTCACGCATGGCACATGAGAATCCTCACGCATGGCACATTTGACTCCTCACGCATGGTACATGAGAATCCTCATGCATGGCACATGAGACTCCTCACGCATGGCACATGAGACTCCTCACGCATGGCACATGAGACTCCTCACGCATGGCACATGAGACTCCGCACGCATGGGACATGGCTCCCTCATATCCCACACCGTACGGCTGCCATGGGCCAGCCGCCCCAGGCACACGCCCTGTTGGTTTTTGAGAATTCTTAAAAGCCAACTACGTTTTGTTGGGTGGGCACGCTGAGCATCATTCGTACGACTGCTTCTGCTGTTTCTCCGCTGCCCAGCGTCTACTCTTTCACACTCACCTCTCTTTCTTCTGTTTCTCTCCCATGCCTGCCCTCTCGGCCCTCTCGGCCCTCTGACCGCCCTGCGCAGCTGTTTGATTTCGGGATGCCGCATTTTGCGGAGGCCCATGACGCCTTCGCCTCGCCGTACAGCCAAGCGTGAGTCTCTACGGTCATGACACGAGCCTCTACGGTCATGACACGAGCCCCCTGCTCCACGCCAGCAGTCCCTTTGAGGCGCCTCAAAAATAGACTCTACTTTCATGACACGAGCCTCCCAGTTCATGACACAAGCCTCTACGGTCATGACACGAGCTCCCCAGTCAACGCCAACCCGGCCTTCATGTTATGGGCGTCTCACCTCATGCTGCCCTTGCCTCGTCGGCACCTTGCGTCTCAATTCTGTACCCAGTCACCCCCCCCCTCTCCCCCCCCACCTCACCCACCCCACTGCACCCACCACACATCCACCCTCCGACCTCTCCTCCCCTTCTCCCCTCCTCCCTCCTCCAGCTACGAGGCAATGGAGAGCACAACAGCGAGGGAGGGCGCTTTTGGGTCGACTCGAAAACAATAGCAACGGAGAGCGTCAAAGACCACCAATGGTTATCCAGCCCCAGTACACTCACCCCCACCTCTCCCAACCCCCCTCCACCCATTTCCACCTCTCTCCAGCAGCTATGAGGCCCCCGAGTGTGTGACAAGGGGGTGTGAGGCGGCGGGGGAGAGCGACAAGACCACTGACATGTTCGCCTATGGTGTGCTGCTCCTTGAGCTCGTTTCCGGCAAGCTTCCCTACGACGAGACCCGCGACGGGGTGCAGCTGCCTGACTGGGTAAGCCGTGGGATGCTTGAGCTCGTTGACCTTGTTGACCTCCTTTGAGCTCGTTGACCTCCTTGACCCCCTTGACCTCGTTGACCTTCTTGAGCTCTCAGCCCCTCTGCTTGCCTGCTCTGCTCCCCTCTGCTTGGCGCCGCCTCCCACAGACCAGCGCCCGCTGTTTCCTCTCCGCCGAATCTCCCTGCCCTTCCCACGTGTCAGACAAACTCATGCACGCACAGTCAAGAGCCACATGGTCACTGGCGCAGCCAAAATCGCAATTATAGTCACACCGTCTCAGGGGGGCGATGGCATTTTGTGTTTCCCACGGCCATGGCATGACCCTGTTTCCCTGTGTGTGTGTGGGGGTGTGTGTGTGTGTGTGTGTGTGGGGGGGGGGGGGGGAGTGTGTGTGTGTGGGGGGGGGGTGTGTGTGTGTGTGTGTGGGGTGTGTGTGTGTGTGTGAGGGAATGGTGCTGTGCTGCAAGCAGGCAAGGGAGCAGGACTGGAGCAGCTTAGAATCTATAAAGGGGTTGGTGGATCCGCTTCTAGAGGGGATGTACAACGAGGAGGAGGTGAGCCCAGGGCTTCAGGCAAGCACAGGATTGACTTCAGTAGCTCGTTGTAACCTCTATCACTGCTCGGATGGCTTTGGATTCGACTCAAAGGTTCCTTGTCTTCACCTCTATCTGGACTCGGTTGGTTCTGTTTCGAGTCAGTCACCTTTACTGTTCTCTGTTTCTTGCTCCAAATAGCTCCTCGTCTTAAGCTTTATCCGGCTTCACCCCATGTAGCTCAATCCCCGACGTCTCTGCGGTTCCCTCCACTTCTGGCAGGTGCTCCAAGTGGCGGCCATTGCGGTTCGATGCATCAACGTGGACAAGAGGCTGCGACCATCTATCAAAGAGGTGTGCAACACACACACCCGCACTCCTCTTTGGTGTGATCACGGTGGATAGGCTCCACGCATGACTGACTTGCAACACACACACCCGCACACATGCACGCACACATGCCGCACACATGCACACACACATGCCGCACACATGCCACACACATGCCGCACACATGCACGCACACATGCACGCACACACACGCCCACATGCACGCACGCACATGCACAAACGCGCACACAGGCACGCACGCACCTGCACGCACGCGCACACACACACACACACACACACACACACACACACACACACACACACACACACACACACACACACACACACACACACACACACACACACACACACACACACACACACACACACACACATTTACGCACACACACTCGCCCACCCCTCCCCCGCCCCATGTCCCCCGATACATCCGTGCATTGCAGGCGCATGACCTGTTGTCCCCCATTGTGGGAAAGTTAGAAGTCATCCCCAACGATGATCCTTATGAGGCGCCTCTCTAATAAATGCCTACGATGTCAAACACTTCAGACTTGAATTTGTCCGAGGGGGAAATAAGGGTTATATCTCTTTCATCTGCGGCTGGGAATGGGGATTGCTTTTGTAATAATGGATTTGGGAAACCTAATGTATTGTAGGTATGCTATGCTTGGTGAGCTGCGTGTTGTTATGGTGTTTGGGCTGGCTTTGGCTGCTTTATGATTTCATTTCCAAGATTCAATCGTTCAAACCGAGCTGTCATCACATCAGCATGATGAAAATACTAAATATCCTCAAATGAGAGGATTTTTGCCAAATGCTCATCGCTGGGTATGAATTATGAAATTAGGCAGATTCTTGGGCGGTGTACCACACCGACATGCACTCTGTACCGCACCAAGCTGTGGACAACGGAACTCAAGTGCCGCACTCGCCCACCACGAGCCGCACTCGCACTGAGGGCAAAGCATCTCGGTGTTACCATTTCGTTTCGTCGTCGCAAACGGAGACTCCAAGGCTGGCGTGTCAGCTGCTGAGGGCGTGGTACCCGGGTTGCGCAACCATCGAAGTTGCGCAATCCGGACTGGCTACCAGACTCGCTGAACCTCATCACAGTGTGTTATATATGGTTTGAGATGGTTTGGTTTGGGTTAAATTTGCCTGCTGCGCAAACCGAGTTGCGGTCTCGAGGCAAAGGGCAATCTGTGTTCGTACCACGCCCTAAAATCGTGCAGGTTTGGAAGGAACAAGGTGAAACTATTTTCAGGCCGAGTTTTTGGTGGGAGCTCCTCCTGCTGTTGTCAGCCTGAACATCAGATTCAGGGCCTATCGCGAAAAACGGAGGTTGTTGTCCGTCCCTTTCCGACGGATCTCCCTCTCTCGTCAGATGGGTTTATACCTATAAGGATATCAGGTCTCGTCAAATCCGCAAACCTTACGGCGTCCGAGCTTCCATCGACTTCTGGTGCAGTGCGCTTCGTGTCTCACGCGCGTCGAGGCTGCAATGGCGCGGCTGTGTATCTTATTAGTTTCGCTCGTCTTCGCCGTCGTCTGTGTTACCGATGTCGCCAGCGTTCGCGGAGAGCCTTCCGCTCGCGTGCTCGCTTCAGGCGGAGGAATGAAGAGGGTGGAGGAGGTTTCGCTGAAGGGACCTTATCTCAGGCGGCGACTGCTGCAAGCCAAGGTCCGATGGTGCAATAGGGCTCGAATGCCGTCCCCTATCCTGCTTTCTCCTCCCCCTCCGCTCTCCCCCTCGCTCTTCCAACCCCACTGTCCCATTCCCACGGTCATCGTGCACGCTAAATCCCGTTTCCCTTTTTGCTGCTTTGCTGCGAATGAGCATGGCCTGGCGTGGCTTGGCGTGGCCTGGAATGGCGTGGAGTGGCATTGTCGTGGCTTGAAAATGCGGTGATCTGACATGCCATGGAAATGGGATGGTGTGAGCATGGGTGTGAGCATGGGTGTGAGCACGGATGCGAGCACGGATGCGAGCAACGGTGTGAGCATTCTGCGATGATTGAGACGTTTTCTACGACCTCCGAGGATCCATCTGCATGCACGCGTGACCATGCCACATTGTCATGCGGTGCTTTCTTGCCTGGCGAATGGCTGCTCATTGTTCGAATGGATGCGCATGACATGGCATGCCACGTCAGCAGCGCGCGCGCCGCAAGCAGCAGCTGGACGACGGGCCGGGGAGCGCGTTCGCGGAGGATGTGCCGTTTCGGAAGGGCAAGAGCCGCGCAGGGGCCGCTGCAGCAGGCGCGGAGGGGTGAGCGGACAGGGAAGTGGAGGTGGGGAAGGTGGGGGGAGGAGGAGGGGGGTGGGGGGGGTGTTGGCTCTGGAAGGAGGGGTTGGAGAATGGGCCTGGGGAGGAAGAGAGGGGGTGAGTGGGGGGGATAGAGACTGTATTGGGCGTGAGTTAGTACTTGGGGGAAACGAGGGGGGGGAGAGCGAACGTGCATGGGAATCAGAGTCTGGTGGATGCCCGCTGCTTTCCTGGTTGCCTCTTTTGCGTGTTGTTGCCACACTCCCTCGTTGCAAAACATCAACCCCCGCTCTTCACCTCACCCTCCCTCCCTTACCAAGGCCCCACCTTCCCTTCCTTCACCATCCCTTACACCCCCTCTCTCCCCCCTCTCCCCCCTCTCACCCCCCTCTCCCCCCTCTCTCCCCCCTCTCACCCCCCTCTCTCCCCTCTCTCTCCCCCCTCACCCCACTCTCTCCCCTCTCTCTCCCCACTCTCTCCCCCCTCTCTCCCCTCTCTCTCCCCCCTCTCTCCCCCCTCTCTCCCCCCTCTCTCCCCGCCTCCAGCACTGCTCAGCCGCAGCCGCACTGAGACACCCTCCATCCGCCCTCGTTCCAGGGACTCCGCCCAGCCCCAGCCTCAGCTGGACCGTCCCCTCGCAGCTGCCCACCTCCCCCTCGTCCCGTCCTCCCCCCCACTTTCCCCTTCCCAGGGTCTCCGCCCAGCCCCACCCGCACCTAGACACCACCCCCTCGCAGCTGCTCGCTTAGATCCCCCGGCGCCCCTCCAGGCGCATGATCATCCGTGCCACACGCCGTCCCTTCTCCCCCCTCTCCTAACCACACCCTCCCCGTCGTCTCGTCCCTTCCCCTCCCCTTCCCCACCCCTTCCCCGCCCCCTCCCCCCATCTTTCCCCCCCTCCAGCGCCGCCCAGCCCCAACCGCAGCTGGACACGCTCCCCTCGCAGGTGCCCGCGCAGATCCCCGACGCCCCCCCCGGCACGTCCACTCTGCTGGACCCCGTCCCCTCCGACGCGCCCCTCGCCTCCGACCAACCCTCCCTCTCCACCTCCACATCCCTCTCCACCCCTCTCTCCTCCGCTTCTCTCTCGCCCGCTGACACCCTTGCGGACGAGCTGGCGGGGCTGAGCCAGCGCTTGGCTAAGAGTCTGCGGGACGTGCGGGGGTATGTGAAGCTGAACGTGTCGACGGCGACGGTGCAGCAGGTGTGCGAGATGGTCGACCACAGCCTGGCGCCGTGGGTGCGCATCCCGCAGATCCGCGAGGGCATGGGAGCTGGGGGCATGGTGGCTCCCAGCCTCATCAAGACCATCAGCCAGCGCCCCCGGGTGAGAGGGGGGATGCGGGTGAGAGGGGGGATGCGGGTGAGAGGGGGGATGCGGGTGGGGATGGTGGGAATGGAGGGGAGGGGGGGGAGGTGGGGGAGGTGGGAAGGGGGTGGGAAGGATTTGGGAGGGAGGAATTCTTCGTTGTCTGCCCCACAAGGACCCGCTGCTTCCCTTTGCATATCCCCGTATCGTATCCATCCTCCTATCCCATCCCTCTGTCCTATTTCCCTTTCTCCGTCTCTCTGCCCCTTCTCTCATCCCTACCTGTCAATCCGTCGGTCTTCCATCGCCCCATCCCATCGCCCCATCCCATCGCCCCATCCCATCACCCCATCCCATCGCCCCATCCCATCGCCCCATCCCATCGCCCCATCCCATCACCCCATCCCATCACCCCATCCCATCACCCCATCCCATCACCCCATCCCATCACCCCATCCCATCGCCCCATCCCATCGCCCCATCCCATCGCCCCATCCCATCACCCCATCCCATCGCCCCATCCCATCACCCCATCCCATCCCATGTCCTATGGCCCCATGCCATGGTGCCCGCGCCCATCAGTTCATGTCGTGTGCAGGCCATGTGAGGGTGGTGGACGGCTCCGTCTACTTCCGCCTGGGCGGCTTCATCACCGTCCCCTACCGCGTCAGGCGCTTCCTGCAGACCGTTGCCACCATCCAAGTGAGGAACCCCTTGCTCCTATCACTCCTCTCTCCTCGAGCGGTCCGTTTATTGCTAGAACCCTGGGTACAAGCTAGGCATGTAGGGTGACAACGAGGCGAGGTACGTACAAGCTAAGGGACCCTAGCCTACTCGAGCTCCCCGAGGGGCTCTGCCACGGCAAAGTAGTCCCCAAGAGCCATGTCGGCGTAGGGGGTACCCACGGGGGTGTGGGGGCCAGGGGAGGCTTCGTTAACCTTGCCCAGGTAAGCCAAGGCCTGCGCCCGTTGGAGCGTCACTGACCAACGCTGGCGAAAATGGAGTAGTTTGGCTGCTTGGTAGGAACTCGGGTCCGCGCCGAAGAGCCTCTTAGCCCCTGTGTCCGCGAGGAGTTTTAAGAAGGTAGGGACTTCGGCGCAATGGCAGCCATACGTCTCTACTGCCAGTGGGAAGAAGCCAACATAGGGGGCCCGATTGCGGTAGTGATAGATTTTCTTGTCGGCCTGCTCGCGGGCCATGTACCCACGTCCCTTACGTGCATCCGGGTCCCGGCTGCTGATTGGGTCTGTGACGGTGACGTTGCAGATCTAGACGGCGTCGGAGCTGCGGTCACGAATTGTGAGGTCGGCCTTGTGGCCGTCCACTGGGTTGTAGATAGTGGTCTCTTTAGTGACAATGAAGTCAGCGTCACGGGCCATCCGGATGCTCTCATCCCGCAGGGCATCGTGGGTGTCAGTCGGCCCGCGCCCAGTGCCACACCGAAAGAGGTGGTTGGGCAACCGTGTGTCGAGGATTTCAAATTCGTCGGCGCAGTTGCAGAAGCGGGGGGCCGGGAATGGAAGGCCAAGTCGAAAGGCCAGGGCAATGGCGAAGTGTGGGGCTTCGAGGCGGAGGGAAGGGAAGATGGGGATGGCATGGATCCAGCTCCGTGCCCCATAATCGGCCAGGGAGAAGAGGCGCTGCGTGTGGCCAGAGTATGGGTTCAGAGTATCGGCGGGAGGCAGTCAGGCTCAGGGCGCGCGGCGGACCATGCCGCGCACTTCGAGGGGTTGTGGGAGAGGCCAATGCCCTCCATGGCGGCGGTGAAGTCGTGGAAAGCCGCAGCGCAGGCGCCCGGGTCGCCCACGAAGGTCACGTCGTCCGCGTAAGCGAGTCAAAGGACCTCGGGGTGGGCTGCCACGGTGGCCTTAAGCGTGGGGTGGATGGCAGCTGCAAAGAGCAGGGGGCCCATCGGGTCCCCTTGGCGTACTCCCCGCGCGCTCAGTCGTGGGGGACTATCGAACCCCTGGTCAAGGTAAAGTAGGGACGGTGCCCCATACGAGAATTGGATGAACGGTAGTAGGGGGCGCAGTGGCAAGTGGTTGATGGCGTAGACGACAGCTCCGCGGTTAACACTGTTGAACGCGTTCGAAAGGTCGACCTGCAGAATCAACGATCCTGGGCGCACGGAGGTGAAGCCCCTGGTGGCGTGGATGATTATTTCCCCTCCACTCTTGATTGCCACAGCGAATTGGTATGGCAAGAAGTAATCTTGCGATGGTTGCGTTGAAGAGACAAGTGAGGACTTAGCCGCTAGTAGGCTTGAGCATGAACCCGACCCGACCCAACCCGACCCGACTTTGCCCTACCCGATGCCGGGTTCGGGTCGGGTCGGGTCGGAGCTCGGGAAATGTTAACCCGACCCGGGTTTAATAGGTCGGGTACTACCTGACCCGATTTCGGGTTGGGTCGGGTCGGGTTGGCATAGGGGTCGGGACAGGTAATAAGCCGACCCGGCAGGTCGGGTTTTGTGGGTCGGGTCGGGTCGGGTTGACCCTCCGCAAATGTCGACCCGACCCGTAAAAAAGTCGGGTTCGGGTCGGGTTACCCGACCCGACCCGACCCGTTGCTCAAGCCTAGCCGCTAGTCAATGCAGGCACTCACCGACAGCGATGGGGCGAGTACCTCCATCTGGTTTGGTGAGTGCCAGGAGACGCGAGGAAGTGAGTAGCTGGCTGACTACGTGCGGCAGTTTACCAGCGAGGAGGCACTGGACGAGCTCGTGAAGGTGCTTGGCGGCGGAGGGATTGGCAAGCGATGCATCGCAAAGATGCTCGAAAGTCATTCCCGATGGCACCACCCCTACTCCATTTTCGCAGCGTGAGAGGAGTTTCGCGAAGTCAGCGAAGGCGGCCTGCAGTCCTCGCTGAGCTGCGGCCAGTTGAGGTCTTCGGCTAGCCGGGGGGGGGGGGTGTTTTGACTTCAGCGCATCCAGAACAGCAGGGGTGGACTCGCTGATTGGGGTTGAAGTCAACGCGAGTAGTGCTCGTCGTAAGTTGCCACATCGCACCAGCCCCTCGGCTCGGGATATTTTCCCAAGGGTGTCAGATACGTGGCGGGGTGGGGGTGGGAGGGTGACAGCAGATGCGGCTGCTTGGTACAGGGCGTCCCACTGGCCCACGAGGAATCGCTGGAGGCTTTTTTCCGCCGCGGGCCAATCAGGGCGTTTTGGCGAAGGTAGGCGAAGGGTGAGATGCGGGAGGAAAAGTAACAAAATCCAACCTTCAGTGGAGGTTGGGTTTTTGGCGAGGAAAAGGAGGGGCGTCAGCAGGGAGAGCGCGAAAAGTTGTCGAATTTGGGGGGTTTATCGGCGGGAAAGCGGGGGTTGGCGGCTGTCACATAATATTGCGATGTCCCAGCTGGCGATCCCGACGAATCTTTAGGCGTCACTTGCCAGCTCTTCTGGAGATAGCTGCAGAGCTGTCTGGGGATGGGTGTCCAGCGGTACCCGGGCATTACGCATGCTGCTGGACCTTCGTCCCCTAGATTGGGAGATGGGCCAGCAGCTCCACCCCTAGCATGCCTGTGTATCTCCTCGCCTCGCTCCTCGCTAGACGCATCCGTTGTAGGCTCTCTCTGCTCCACAGGTACATAAGTTCCATCGGCTCGTTCCTCCTCACCAGTAGTTCCCTACAATCCCAAAGCTCTTAAAGCCTTGTTCGCCGCCTGCTGGAATTCGTTCAGCGGACCTCCATCGGATGACAAGTCGCACCGCCTAGCTTGCCCGCGTCCGCGACCGCGTCCTGCTCGCCCACCGCGTCTCCCGCGCCCTCCACGATCCACTCCCGAGGCTTCCCTGTCCGCTGTCCGCCGTCCTTGTCGGGTTACGAGAGGAGCCGAAAGCGGCGCGCCGCTTCCCGATGCATCAGCCGCTAGGGCCCGGGCTGGGCCGACCCACTCGTGAGCGCTCTGGCGATTTGGAAAGCACCGGGGAGAGCGGGCCCCCCCATGGTCAGGCAATTCCTCTGGCCCAGTCGATTGGGAGCGCGGGCTCCCCGTCCCCTCGTTGAGCCGCCGGCAGACCCCAGAGCGGATGCCTGGGCGGTCAGGGAGTCGCCACCCCGTAGCGGCGCGAGGAGAAGACCCCCGAGCGCGTCCTGGAGACCGAACCTGGACCCCAGACGCACGGCGCCCAGAGCGCGGCACGTCAGCAGTAGCCGCAGCCGCCTCACCGTGGGACGCCTCAGCGCCGCCCACAGGCGCACCCGCCCACAGCCGCACCGGACTCCGCAGGCGCAGCGGAATGGTGGGGGGAGTAACCGCGGATCGGCTGCGGAGAGGCGGTTGGGGCGCGCTGCCGCAACTCTCGAAGGCCTGTTCCGCTCCGTCGCCCAGCCCCAGCAACCACTGGCATATCACCCACAGCATCCACCGTCGCAGCAGTATCCTCAGTCGCTTCCACAGCAGGCGCACTTCCCACCGCAGCAGGTGTCGGCGCAGCCGTTCCCGCCGCACGGTGCAGTGCTTCCGCTGCTCCCGACCTATCAGCAGCTTCCCCTGCCTCCCCCGTCTGCGCATCCTCCGCATCACCTCCCCCCTGCCGCCCATTCCGTTCCGCACTAGCCGATAGTGGTGCCGTACCCGATGAACGCGCAGTCTGTGGAGACTCTGCCGCGCTGGCAGCCACCGCCGCTGGAGGCATCAGTGGTGGGTTGGCCTGGCAGCCAGCCGCAGCCTGTGGCGCCAGCATCGTTCGGCGCTCGGGTGGCGGCGCCCTTTGTCCCCCCTCGTCGTGCGCTGCAGTCGCCGACTGGAGTTGAGGGGGGGGCAGAAGCAGCGGAGATGGGGGATGCGGAGTCCGCCGGTGAGGGCTCGCCTCCTGGTGACTCGGGGCGGCGCCGCTCGCCCAGGCTGCGGATGCCGCAGAGAGCGCAGCTGGAGCGCCTGCGTGGGAGGGAGCGCCTGGCGGAGACTGCAATCCCAGTCGCCACGCTTCGTCGGCTCTGGCACGCACAGCGGGCGATGGGGTTTGCTGTGGAGATGCTGACGGACTCGCACACCGTTCTACGAAACTGAGCGAGGCCATGCAAGATGCCCCACGATCCTCTCCACCGCTGTGCGATGGCTGCAGCTGATCTCGCAGTTGTGTCGACGCGAGTGCAGCCTGCGCCTGCCCCGGGAACTGTGTTGGACCGGCGCCTGCTCGCCGTGATGCGTGCAGTATTGGTAAGCGTAGACTCGGCTGCAGCTGTAGACATCATTGGCGGCGCCGTGTCAGCACTGCTGCTCCTGGTGGGCTATGTGACGGCCCTACTGGAGGAAGCTGGAGCGGACCAAATCGCGTGACGGGTTTCCTCCGCGTTATGTGCGCATGGGGGACGTGGCCACCAGCGAGAGCTCCTTTGTAAGGCGGATGAGGCTCTCCATGCCGCAGGATTAGGAAGTATATAGAGTGTGCGTTTGGCCCGTGAGGCAGAGGTTGTCATTGTACGTTTGTGTTGTCAAGTGGTTTGCAGAGACCTTGCTGTCCCCTAACGCGCGGCCGCAGGCCGCGCTGCGAGCGACGGCGGCCGTAGGCCGCCGGCGCGAGCCGCCACCAAGGAAAGGAGAAGGAAAAACCCAAACTAAAACAGGGAAATGTGTAGGAAGAGAGCTCTAACTACTAAGGGGCAGAGGATCCTCTCTCTCCTCTCTCTCCTGTCTCTCCTCTCTCTCCTCTCTCTCTTGACCCTTCCTTTGCCCCCTCCCAGCTCCGCTTTTTCCATCTCCCAAACCCCTCTCTTCATTCCTACACTCCTCTCTCCCCATTCCCTCCCCCCTTGTTCCGTCTCTCCTTGTGCTCTCTTTGCCCCACATTGCCCCTCCCCCTTCCCCCTCCCCCGGCGCTCATTTTCATACCGTCTTTCCTCCTTTCCCCCATGCTGTCTCACACTTCTCCTCTCACCCCTCTCCTCTCACCCCTCCCCTCTCCGCTCGCCCACGGCACATTCGACTCCTTCAAGCAACCTGTCCCCTTCCATTCCCGTTCCCTCCCCCTGCCGCCGCTGCTCCTTGCCCCCCCCCGTCTCAACCCCCCCCCTCCTAGCACGCGATCGACTTCTGCAACCTGCCCTCTTCCATTTCCCTTCTCTTCCCCTTCCCTCCCCCCCTCTCTCCCCCCTCCGCCATCTCTCCCTCCCCCCACCCCTCCCCTCTCTCTTCCCTCCCCCCCCCCCTCTGTCCCACTGCCTCCCCCTCCGTCCATGCAGCGCGCGGTCGACTTCTACAACCTGCCGGGCGTGCGGGCGGAGTTCTTTGTCAACACGTGCGACCTGCCCATCAGCTATGACAGCGACGTGGGCGGCAGCCGCCCGGTGGGCTTCCCATTCTTCAGCACACGCGTGGTCCCTGGGTCGGTGGACATCGCCATTCCCGATCCCCTCGACCTGCCAGAGAACATGGACCTGCCAGAGAACGTCGAGGTGAGGGGGGGAAATAGAGGGGAGGGGGGGCGGGGGGAGTGTGGGGGGGTGGTATGAGGGTATGCCGTCATCCCTGGCTCTGTTGACATCGCTATCCCCGACCCCCTCGACCTGCCAGAGAACGTCGAGGTGAGGGGTTCTTGAGAGGGGTGTGTGTGGGAGGGGGGAAAGGGGAGGATGGGGGGCGGACAGGGGAGGGGTGACTGGAGGGGGAGGGGTTGTGGGGGGGAGGGGCCTGGGTGGGGGGGAACAGGGGGGGTGGAGGGGCCTGGGTGGGGTTGGAGGGGTTTGAGTGGATTGGCACAGGCGTGGCTGCTTGCTCTTTTGGAATCGTCTTCCTCGACCCCCTTGACTTCACACCCCCCCCGCCCCCTGCACCCGCCCCCCAAACCCCCACCATCGCCCGTCCCCTCCTCTGTGCCCCCCCTTCCGCCCCTCATCCCTTCCGCCCCTCATCCCTTCCGCCCCTCATCCCTTCCGCCCCTCATCCCTTCCGCCCCTCATCCCTTCCGCCCCTCATCCCTTCCGCCCCTCATCCCTTCCGCCCCTCATCCCTTCCGCCCCTCATCCCTTTCCGCCCCTCATCCCTTTCCGCCCCTCATCCCTTCCCGCCCTCCCTTTCCACCCCTCATCTCCGCATGGCAGCTGTGCGACGAGAAGGAGGCGTGCTGAGATCAGGGGCACGGCCAGCAGCTCTGCAAGTCCCTCCCTCCTTCCCCCTTCACTATTCTCTCTCCTCGTCTCCCGGCCCCCCACACACACCACACCCCAGCCGCAGGTGACATACTGCAATGTCGTGCACGGCGGTCTCGCCCCCCACACACACCACACCCCACCCGCAGGTGCCGTGGGAGGAGTAGGAGCACCGGGCTGTGTTCTGCGGCACGGCCAGCAGCTCTGCCAGTCCCTCCCTCCCCCATCCTCCAGTGTACCCTCGCTCCCCATCTATCCCTTCCCCCCCTCACTGCCCACCCCCCCAATCACCACCGCAGGTGCCGTGGGAGGAGAAGGAGAACCGCGCCGTGTTCCGCGGCACGGCCAGCAGCTTCCCGTTTGAAGACTCGCAGAACTGGCGGGCGCACCCCCTCATCCGCCTGCACAGGTGCACACCCCCTCATCCGCCTGCACAGGTGCGCACTCCCTCATCCGCCTGCACAGGTGCGCACCCCCTCATTCGCCGGCACAGGTGTGATGTTCTGTGTCCAAGGTAGGTACAAGGTACACCTGGTGCAGGGCGCACCATCCGCCTGCACAGGTAGAGTCCTTGGGCTCCGGGGGTTCGGATTGCACCCCCCTCATTCTGCCCATCGTTCTGCCCCTGTGTATTCGTTTCCGCTAACTTCCTCTCCTGTTGCAACTCCCTCTCTGCTGCTCGCCTCCACCCCTTTCCCCCAGGATGGCGGATGCTCGTCCGGACCTGCTGGACGTGAAGCTCATTGGGTGGAGCCGCGACATTGAGGGGGATGTGCGCAAGAGGTAGGGGGATGTGCGCAAGAGGTAGGGGGATGTGCGCAAGAGGTAGGGGGATGTGCGCAAGAGGTAGGGGGATGTGCGCAAGAGGTAGGGGGATGTGCGCAAGAGGTAGGGGGATGTGCGCAAGAGGTAGGGGGATATGCGCAAGAGGTAGGGGGATGTGCGCAAGAGGTAGGGGGATGTGCGCAAGAGGTAGGGGGATGTGCGCAAGAGGTAGGGGGATGTGCGCAAGAGGTAGGGGGATGTGCGCAAGAGGTAGGGGGATGTGCGCAAGAGGTAGGGGGATGTGCGCAAGAGGTAGGGGGATGTGCGCAAGAGGTAGGGGGATGTGCGCAAGAGGTAGGGGGATGTGCGCAAGAGGTAGGGGGATGTGCGCAAGAGGTAGGGGGATGTGCGCAAGAGGTAGGGGGATGTGCGCAAGAGGTAGGGGGGTGTGCGCAAGAGGTAGGGGGTGTGCGCAAGAGGTAGGGGGATGTGCGCAAGAGGTAGGGGGATGTGCGCAAGAGGTAGGGGGATGTGCGCAAGAGGTAGGGGAGGGGGGATGTGCGCAAGAGGTAGGGGGATGTGCGCAAGAGGTAGGGGGATGTGCGCAAGAGGTAGGGGGATGTGCGCAAGAGGTAGGGGGATGTGCGCAAGAGGTAGGGGGATGTGCGCAAGAGGTAGGGGGATGTGCGCAAGAGGTAGGGGGATGTGCGCAAGAGGTAGGGGGATGTGCGCAAGAGGTAGGGGGATGTGCGCAAGAGGTAGGGGGTGTGCGCAAGAGGTAGGGGGTGTGCGCAAGAGGTAGGGGGGGGGGGGGGGGTGTGCGCAAGAGGTAGGGGGATGTGCGCAAGACGTAGGGGGATGTGCGCAAGAGGTAGGGGGATGTGCGCAAGAGGTAGGGGGATGTGCGCAAGAGGTAGGGGGATGTGCGCAAGAGGTAGGGGGATGTGCGCAAGAGGTAGGGGGATGTGCGCAAGAGGTAGGGGGGTGTGCGCAAGAGGTAGGGGGGTGTGCGCAAGAGGTAGGGGGATGTGCGCAAGACGTAGGGGGGTGTGCGCAAGAGGTAGGGGGATGTGCGCAAGAGGTAGGGGGATGTGCGCAAGAGGTAGGGGGATGTGCGCAAGAGGTAGGGGGATGTGCGCAAGAGGTAGGGGGATGTGCGCAAGAGGTAGGGGGATGTGCGCAAGAGGTAGGGGGATGTGCGCAAGAGGTAGGGGGATGTGCGCAAGAGGTAGGGGGGGGGGGGGGGGATGTGCGCAAGAGGTAGGGGGATGTGCGCAAGAGGTAGGGGGATGTGGCGGGGGGGGGGCAAGAGGTAGGGGGTGTGCGCAAGAGGTAGGGGGATGTGCGCAAGAGGTAGGGGGATGTGCGCAAGAGGTAGGGGGATGTGCGCAAGAGGTAGGGGGATGTGCGCAAGAGGTAGGGGGATGTGCGCAAGAGGTAGGGGGATGTGCGCAAGAGGTAGGGGGATGTGCGCAAGAGGTAGGGGGATGTGCGCAAGAGGTAGGGGGATGTGCGCAAGAGGTAGGGGGATGTGCGCAAGAGGTAGGGGGATGTGCGCAAGAGGTAGGGGGATGTGCGCAAGAGGTAGGGGGATGTGCGCAAGAGGTAGGGGGATGTGCGCAAGAGGTAGGGGGATGTGCGCAAGAGGTAGGGGGATGTGCGCAAGAGGTAGGGGGATGTGAGAAAGAGGGGGCGGGAAGGAGAGAAAGGAGGAACCTTGTGACAATCATTGTGACAATCATTGTGACAATCATTGTGACAATCATTGTGACAATCATTGTGACAATCATTGTGACAATCATTGTGACAATCATTGTGACAATCATTGTGACAATCATTGTGACAATCACTTCTCAGTTTCGTGCCATTGCCCTCGCACTCACATGCTGCTTCCCTATCTTCCACACTCACACTGCCATTCCCCTCCGCCCGTGCCCCTTGCCATGCCCGATGCCTGGTCTCCTGTTCCAGGATGGAGGCGGACGGGGTGGCAATGGTGGGGCGCGCGTCTCTGTCGTCCGATCCGCCTCTCTCCAAGTTCAAGTACCAGGTTGTGTCGGGGCTGCCCTCCTCGCACCAGACGTGTGCCATTCTGGCTCGGGGGGAACAGGTGAGGAAACGTAAGGGCAGGTGAGGGAGCAAACGGGCAGGTGACGGATATGCCTTGCTGCCTTTGAGTCATCTCCGGCCCCCCATCCACACGCCTTATCTCCAAGTTCAAGTACCAGGTCGTGTCGGGGCTGCCCTCCTCGCACCAGACGTGCGCCATCCTGGCACGCAGGTGAGGAATACAGTCAGCAGCCGTTTGAGACGTCTCGGACCCCGCATCCACACACACGGGTCGAGCAGGTGAGTGTTACGCCTTGCTGCCTTTGAGACGTCTGGGACCGCCTGAGCTATCACCAGGTCATGTCGGTGTCGGGGCTGCCCTCCTCGTACCAGACGTGCGCCATTCTGGCTCGGGGGGAACAGGTGAGGAAACGCACGGGCAGGTGAGGAAACGCACGGGCAGGTGAGGAAACGCACGGGCAGGTGAGGAAACGCACGGGCAGGTGAGGAAACGCACGGGCAGGTGAGGGAGCAAACGTGGCGCGTGAGGGATACGCCGTGCTGCCTTTGAGGCGTCTCATCCCCCCCATCCACACCCCATATCTCCAAGCAAATAGCACCAGGTTGTGTAGGGGCTGCCCTTCTCGCACTAGACTTGCGCCATACTCGCTGGTGGGGAACAGGTGGGGGCACGGGCAGGTGAGCAACTCTGGCTTATGAAACGAGGATTGCAATCCAGCAGCATGCCTTACAGCTCGGCATTGCTCCGCTGCACCTGCTCCCTCGCTTGATGTGTGCAGGTGCCCATCTGCACAGTTCCTCACACCGCTTTTCAAGCCCTATGTAAACCCAAACCCTGCGTCTTCTCCCCCTCCCGTTTCCCCTCCCCCCCGCTCCTCCCTATCCCATTCCTCCGCTCTTGCGGGGGGCCATCCGCCAGGCCACTCCATACGCTGATGTCTTCACCCCTCTCTTAAAGCCCTGTCTTCAACCCTGTCTTCATTCTTGCTCCTCTTCCCTGCTCTCCCACCTCCTCCCCCCTCCTCCCCCCTCCTTCCCCCTCTTCTCCCCTCCTCTCCCCTCCTCCCCTGCTCTCCCCTCCTTCCCCTCGTGCAGGTGGCCATCCGCCAGGCCACGCCCTACGCGGAGTTCTTCACACCACTCTTAAAGCCCTACGTGAACTTCATCCCGGCGAACCGGCACTTTGACAACCTGATAGAGAAGCTGCGGTGGGCGCAGAGCCACGACAACCACGTTCACCACATGGTGGCCGCCGCCAAGAGGGCTTCCAAGTGAGTCTGATGCGTGCTGGCCATGCATGTCGCGCCATGCATGTTGCGCCATGCATGTTGTGCCATGCATGTTGTGCCATGCATGTTGTGCCATGCATGTTGTGACATGCATGTTGTAACATGCACTTACACATGACGCAGGCCCACGACAACCAGGTGCACCACATGGTGGCCGCGGCCAAGAGGGCGGCCAGGTAAGACTATATGCTCTGATGCAGTGGCTGCCGTCTTAGCCGCGCGGCTATCCAAGCACGGTGCATCGTCACAACTATGCATGAGGCACCTCAAAAATAGACTCCTCATGCGCGGCCATCCAAGCACGGTGCATCGTCACAACTATGCATGAGGTGCCTCAAAAATAGACTCCTCATGCGCGGCCATCCAAGCACGGTGCATCGTCACAACTATGCATGAGGCGCCTAAAAAATAGACTCCTCATGCTTGGCCATCCAAGCACGGTGCATCGTCACAACTATGCATGAGGCGCCTCAAAAATAGACTCCACACGCGCGGCCATCCAAGCACGGTGCATCGTCACAACTATGCATGAGGCGCCTCAAAAATAGACTCCACACGCGTGGCCATCCAAGCACGGTGCATTGTCACAACTATGCATGAGGCGCCTCAAAAATAGACTCCTCACGCGCGGCCATCCAAGCACGGTGCATTGTCACAACTATGCATGAGGCGCCTCAAAAATAGACTCCTCACGCGCGGCCATCCAAGCACGGTGCATCGTCACAACTATGCATGAGGCGCCTCAAAAATAGACTCCACACGCGCGGCCATCCAAGCACGGTGCATCGTCACAACTATGCATGAGGTGCCTCAAAAATAGACTCCTCATGCGCGGCCATCCAAGCACGGTGCATCGTCACAACTATGCATGAGGCGCCTAAAAAATAGACTCCTCACGCTTGGCCATCCAAGCACGGTGCATCGTCACAACTATGCATGAGGCGCCTCAAAAATAGACTCCACACGCGCGGCCATCCAAGCACGGTGCATCGTCACAACTATGCATGAGGCGCCTCAAAAATAGACTCCACACGCGTGGCTATCCAAGCACGGTGCATTGTCACAACTATGCATGAGGCGCCTCAAAAATAGACTCCTCACGCGCGGCCATCCAAGCACGGTGCATCGTCACAACTATGCATGAGGCGCCTCAAAAATAGACTCCACACGCGCGGCCATCCAAGCACGGTGCATCGTCACAACTATGCATGAGGCGCCTCAAAAATAGACTCCACACGCGCGGCCATCCAAGCACGGTGCATTGTCACAACTATGCATGAGGCGCCTCAAAAATAGACTCCTCACGCGCGGCCATCCAAGCACGGTGCATCGTCACAACTATGCATGAGGCGCCTCAAAAATAGACTCCACACGCGCGGCCATCCAAGCACGGTGCATCGTCACAACTATGCATGAGGCGCCTCAAAAATAGACTCCACACGCGCGGCCATCCAAGCACGGTGCATCGTCACAACTATGCATGAGGCGCCTCAAAAATAGACTCCACACGTGCGGCCATCCAAGCACGGTGCATCGTCACAACTATGCATGAGGCGCCTCAAAAATAGACTCCACACGCGCGGCCATCCAAGCACGGTGCATCGTCACAACTATGCATGAGGCGCCTCAAAAATAGACTCCTCACGCGCAGCCATCCAAGCACGGTGCATCGTCACAACTATGCATGAGGCGCCTCAAAAATAGACTCCTCATGCGCGGCCATCCAAGCACGGTGCATTGTCACAACTATGCATGAGGTGCCTCAAAAATAGACTCCTCATGCGCGGCCATCCAAGCACGGTGCATCGTCACAACTATGCATGAGGCGCCTCAAAAATAGACTCACGCATGGCCATCCAAGCACAGTGCATCGTCACAACTATGCATGAGGCGCCTCAAAAATAGACTCCACACGCGCGGCCATCCAAGCACGGTGCATCGTCACAACTATGCATGAGGCGCCTCAAAAATAGACTCCTCACGCGCGGCCATCCAAGCACGGTGCATCGTCACAACTATGCATGCGCTGAAATGTCTTGAAAAAGCCTTACAGCCATTTATTTCATCATTCCTCTTCTCCCTGCATCCCTCCCCCCCGCTCCTTCCTCCTCTCCCCTCTGTTCGCCACTCTCCAGGTGGGCATGCACCCGTGGGGGCCACATGCTTTACTGGGCCGTCCTCCTTATAAAGTACTCCAAGAACGCGCTACAAGACCCCTCCACAATCAAGGCGCCGGTCAAGACGCTCTGCCAGGATCCCCTTGATCCCGCCCTGCTGGAAATGGCCGGCCTGTCTGCCTCCACCTCCTCCTCCCCTCCCTCCCTCACTCTCCCTGACTCCTGGCCCCCCACCTGCTCTCCTGACAACATTGACAGGAGCGCCCAGCCCAAGTGTGTCTTTTACTGCAGGAAGGGCATTATCCCCTCTAAGAGCTTTGTGTGGGTTTCTGCAGAGGCCCTCAAGGCAGGTGGTGGTGCGCAGGCAGCGTAGCGTGACGTGTGTTGGTGGGTTGTAAATTTGAGGGATGTGGTCGTGATGGTTCCCTGAGCTTTTACTGCTGTTTGTGTGGCGCAGCTCATAACGTGCACTCACGTCGCATTACATCTGATGGGCAACCGTGCCTTGACTGGGGATTTGCATGTATGACAAAGTTGCCATGTCCAAGTTTGGAATGTGGGGGGGGCAGAAGATGCACAAATCATGATACCGATAGTTATGAAGTAGGTATTATTAAAGCGAGAGGTCAAAATAGTAAAGGCGGGTCCAACTTGAAAAGGCCCAGACGTCCGTTTTTGCGACTAAGGGACAAAACTGCGATGGGGCAGAGGGTACACAGTCGCGAAATGCAAGCAGGGGAAACTGGGCGAGAAGATGCAGTTACCTGATTGGTTGGCGGGGAAAACATGTCGTACGGTGGGGAAAATGGCTCGGGCAAAATCGCAAGCAGCGCGCCACCTGTCCCCCAGCCCCCACTGCCTGTAAGCTGCACCAAGTGGGCCCAACACCAGCAAAACTGAGGCTGGGCCCCGATTGGTCGAAATGCTAACCACGCAAATCTATGGTCGTAAAATTTGTCACCAGTGCGAAATGTCGCAAGCGCAATTCGATTTCGTGGCCTACGGCTTGGTAAAAAACGGGGGCTGCTGCCTGCCCCTCCAAAAACATACTCACTGTTGGGTCGTTTCTAGTTGGGCCCAACTAGAAAGGGGGGTCACTATTATCAGAAAGAATAATTGGACTAGAATGTGTGAGTACAAGGGTATATAGACTAGGGTGTTATACCCTCTAAGGCACAATCCAGTATAGTCTACAGTAATGATCTAAGTTATATTTGACACACCCCCTAGACTATATAGGGGCAGTGCCTAACAGGGAAAGAAGCAGATCAGGGCGGCACTACTAGTCCAGCCTCTGAGACAAGGGTCTAAAGACCAGTCAAAGGAGAACAGACAACACAAGAGCAAGACCAGGGCGGCACTACTAGTCCAGCCACTAGGAGAGGCCACAAGGCCAGTCATGGTAAAATATATATATATGAAGGACAGTACAAAGTCAAGGCCCTAGAAAGTGAGAGGCTACAGGAACGAGACCTAGCTGTACACAGTGCCGCTGATGATCTTTAGGCGCAAGCACTTTCGTAAATATATCAGCTGTGTTGGCACCGGAGGCCAAGTGTACTACGCGCGCCTGGCGGCGCTGCTGGAGCTTACGCAGGAGGAAGTACCGCAGCTGGATGTGCTTCGCTCTGCCCTCGAGTCGAGGCTCCTGACACAGGAGGATCATGGCCATGTTGTCAGCGTACAGGACTGGGGCAGAGCCAGGCCGCTCACCTAAGTCAGTGAGCAAGAAGGTCAGCCAGCGGAGCTCCTGTGCCGCCATGGCGCCGGCGTAGATCTCGGCCTCACAGCTGGACTGGGCAACAGACGAGGAGCGGGTAGCTCTCTACGAGACGGCACCTGACCCAAGGCTGAAGCAGTAGCCCTGCGAGGACCTGAGGGTCTCGGCGTCGTCTGCCCAAGAAGCGTCTGTGTGTCCAGTAAGGACCACTGGCCTGCGTCCTCCTAGCACTAACCCCATGCCCGATGTACTTGCAAGATAATGCAAAACCCTCTTAGCGCCAGACCAGTGGTGAGGTCGGTGTCTGCCTGTGGCCACAAAGCGAGTCAGGATGCTGAGAGGGTATGCGAGATCTGGGCGAGTGCAAGTCATCAGGTACATGAGGCAACCAACCAGCTCTGCATAAGGACCACTGGGCTCTGCTGACTCCTCAGGAACTGCAGCGGAGAGCCTGTGGACTAGAGGCAAAGGAGTGGGCTGTGCGGAGGAGAACTGAAGGCCGAACCTCTGAAGGACCTGGCGCACCAAGTGTGACTGAGTCAAAGTGATAGTGCGGGCTACTCTCTCCCTGGAGATCTGCAAGCCAAGGTAGTGGCGCAGTTCTCCAAGGTCAGTGCAAGTGTGTCCCTTTAGCAGCTCCACCTTCACGGAGGCCAGTGCGTCCCTGTCTGCTGTGGTGAAGACCAGGTCATCTACGTAAACAAGGATGTAGAACGGGGTCTGGCCAGCACGAACGAAGAGCGAGGGGTCTGCAGAGGACGGAAAGAACTGCAGGTCAGCAAGCGTAGCACGCAGCGTGTCGTGCCACTCACGGGGAGCCTGCCGCAGGCCGTAGACAGGGCGCCGCAGGAGCCACTGGGTCCCAGGAGGGAAAGGTACCAGTGAAGCCTTGAGGGCGGCGCAGGTAGACCTGCTCGTGTAGACTGCCCTGAAGAAACGCAGTGGAGAAGTCGAGAGAGTGTAGCTCATAGCCACGCTGTGCTGCTACGTGTAGCAGCAGTCGAAGAGTAGTCATCTTCGGGGTCGGAGCGAAGGTCTGGAAGAAGTCCACCCCCTCACGCTGACTGAAACCTCTAGCCACGTAGTGCACCTTGAACACAGGCGGCTCTCCAGGAGGACGCTTCACCTTGAAGAGCCAGCAGCCATCTACTACGTTCACCCCAGGTGGTGGAACTGCGTCGACGTAGGTGCCGGTGGATCTACAAGATGCCATCTCCTGCTCCATGGCAGCTATCCACTGAGAGGCCCAGGGTCCCGAGATCGCCTCAGCGTAAGTGCGAGGGGTCGGGATGTCGAAAGCGTCGGGGTCACCCTCAGGGACTAGAAGCATAGAGCAGAGATGGGGAGCAGCCTCGAACAGGAAAGCAAGCTCGTACTGGCGGTCCTCCAGGACGTCACTGCCGAGGGCAGGAGCACCCCCGACAGACGGAGGATAGGCAGGGTCAGAGACCAGAGCAGTGGCGTAGTCAAGGCGGTGGGTAGAGGCGAAGTCAGCGACCGCAGCGACAAGGGCGTCAAGACTCGAAACCGGAACAGACGAGAGAGGCAAGGAACCGAGGAATAAGAGGACGAGCGGCACGCAGGTAGTCAGACAGAGGGGGGGTAGTCAGACAAGGGAGGACGGAGGGGGCGACGGGAGAAGGGGAGGATGAGACGCGTGGTAACGAAGCAACATAGGGTGAGTGCGCGATACAGGGGAGACAGTTCGAGCACGGGAGGGACGGCGAGACCAGACGTGAGACAGAGGAGTCGGGTCAGGGGACAGAGGAGGGGACACAAGAGGGGAACGAGGTGGGAGACGGGCCGGAGACGAGTCCGAAGGAGGGAACACAGGGCCGTAGATAGGAGGAGGAGGAGGCACAGGCACGGGGTCAGGGGACGGAAGGCCGAGCAGGCGAAGAGCGGACACCGGCGGGGACTGCTGCGGCGGCGGTGTGACACCGACACCGGGACCGCAAGCTGCCTGGTGGCTACCTCCAGAACACTCCATGCAAGCACCCCCAGAAGGAACACCCCCAGAGCTCAGAACCCCTCGAGCACCGATACCACCCCTAGGCCCGCCGGAACAAGCCACGACAGGAGTCCGAGGACTAGTACCCACCCCAACTCCAGCACCCCCAGAGGCAACGAACTGTTGCGGCGACGGCTGCGGCGGCGGCGGCTGCAACGACGGCTGCGGCGGCGGCGGCGGCGGTGATGACGGCTGCGACAGCGGTGGGGACGGCGGCTGCGGAGGCGGCGGAGGAGGAGACACCTGAGAAGGGGCACGCGGCGAGTACCGCGCCGCAGGACCACCAGATTCAGCAGACTTCTCAACCGGGACAACCGACGTAAGTGGGGTGACGTCGGACACACCAGAGGGGGCAGGACGGGGAGGGGGAGGAGGGGCGGCGACGACCGGGGAAGGGGTGACCAGGAACAGGAGGGGGGTAACCGGGGGACATCGGTGGGGGAAGCTGTAGAAGAAGGAGACGGGCTCGTCAAAGGTGACGTCGCGAGAGTGAAACAACCGGTGAGACGTCGGGTGGTAGAAGTGCCAGTCATACGCATCAAGGGGGAAGCGGAGGAAGACACAGGGAAGGGTGCGGGTAGTGAGCTTGTCCGTGCCAGAGGCACGAACGTGAGCAAGGCAGCCCCAAACGTGGAACGCAGATGCGTCACCAGGTGACCCAGACCAGAGGAGGGTTGGCGAAACCTTAGTCTGCTGGGGGTGCGGCCACAGGTTAAACTGGTGAGCGGCGTAGCGAACGGCGAACGGCTACAGAAAATGGGGTGCCCCGGCATGGATCATGGAGGTGCGAGCCACCTCCATGACCAAACCGATGCGTCGCTCAGCGACCCCATTCTAATGCGGGGAGTCCGGCAAGGTGAACGTCTGGGTGATGCCCTCCGCACGACTGAAACGACCAAGGACACCAGAGGCAAACTCGCCACCACGGTCAGAGTGGAGACGCAAGACAGGGAGACCGCGGTGGACACGCGCAGAGGCAAGCCACGGGATACAGTGGCGGAAACAATTGTCCACATGTTTAGCATATTTTTACATTTTGACGAGCTGTACGCTATAAACATTAAGCCTTAATTCATGGTGGCCATACACGTAGAGAGGAGCAGTTAGAGCACTCACGCAAATCTCCTAAAACCAGAGTAGTATATTTCATGGACATTTAGTAACATAGCACGGTTGACAGTGCATCCTTGCACTATTAGAATCATGCTATTATCCGGATGTGCTGTTATTAAATGTTGTCATCTTGAAGGACCATGAAATATACTACTCTAGGTTTAGGAGATTTGAGTGAGTGCTCTAACTGCTCGTCTCTACGTGTATGGCCACCATGAATTAAGGCTTAAAGTTTATAGCGTACAGCTCGTCAAAATGTAAAAATATGCTAAACATGTGGACAATTGTTTCCGCCACTGTAAGAACGGCAGGCACGTCGGCCTTCCGCTCCAAGGGGAACACAGTGGTGTAGCGCGTGTAGTCGTCGACAAGAACTAGGAAGTAGCGCTCTCGACGCGGCCCATGGACGGGGGCGGGGCCCCATACTTCCATGAGCAGAGTCTGTAGCGGTGCTGCAGTAGGGGGAAACGAGGAGGAGTGAGGGGCACGGCGGAGCCGGCCCTCGACACAGGGCGTGCAAGGTGGGGCTGGGGAGGAGGGAAACTCGGGGAACGACCTGGGGAGGCCTAGGACGTGACCGTGCTGTGACATGTGACGTAGACGCAGGAACGCAGGGTGACCCAGGCGGTGGTGCCAGAGAAGTGTCGGGTGAGTGAGAGACCGACAGGAGCAGGCAGCAGCAACCGGGGGAGACGCAGTCACCTGAGGGGGGGTCCCAGCCGGGGGGTCACCGTGTCCAGTATGAAAAGATCGGACACCGGGTCCCGTGGGAACGTGGACAGGGGGGCACTAGTGGCGGCCTCGGTACA